CACTCTGAGACACCTTTGGGTAGTGAAGGGCGGGGTATAAATCCAATCTCTTCTTCTTCTTTTACCTCACAGGGTGTCTGTTGTGGGGAGGGGAAGGGAAAGGAGTTTGTGATCCGTTCTGAGACACCCTTGGGTAGTGAAGGGCAGGGTATAAATCCAATCTCTTCTTCTTCTTCTACCTCACAGGGTGTCTGTTGTGGGGAGGGGAAGGGAAAGGAGTTTGTAAGCCACTCTGAGACTCCTTTGGGTAGTGAAGGGCGGGGCATAAATCCAATCTCTTCTCTCCTTCTTCTTACCTTCAGTAAGACAGTGCGGATCCTTGTGCTGTGGTGGCAGCTGCTGCCAAAGCGACATTTTTAATAATCCGCACAGCCGATCAAATCTACAGCGACCAATCAGAAGCCCTGCTGGGCAAAAGCCCTCCCTGGCCCCACCCACTTCCTAAAAACACTTGGTGGGCACCACGATGCCCACGGTCACCATGTTGGGGACCTCCATCCTACAGACATAGGGGTTGTCTCCTCACAGGCTTTGACCCCAAGGGTCAGTTCAGGGGTTCCTTCTCAGAGTCTCAATAGAAAACCTGAGGGCCGTCAGCCGGCTGCCCCCTTTCATGGGTGGTACAATACCTAGTGAGTGTGAGGAAGCGCAACTGGGACGCAAGCCCTCGTACGTTCCTCTTTTTTATCATCATCATCATCATCATCATCATCATCATCATCATCATCATCATCATCATCATTATATAAAACTTTATTTCATTTTCTCAAAATAAGTATAACAAGACTGGACAACGCTATACGATAGAAAAGATACAGCAATAATCGATAAATTAACTACAATGCATAAATGCAAATCTAGATATATAAACATTCAGCAGTGAGTAGACCCCATTTATGGCAGCTGCGGTGGCTCAAGTGGTTAAGACGCCGAACTGCAGACTGGAAGGTCGGTAGTTCGGCAGTTCGAGACCCGAGTGCTGCATGACAGAGTGAGCTCCCGCCTCTGGCCCCAGCTCCTGCCAACCTAGCAGTTCGAAAGCAAGAAACTGCAAGTAGATGAATAGGTACCGCTTCGGTGGGAAGGTAACAGTGTTCTGTGCGCCTCGGTGTCTAGTCATGCCAGCCACATGACCACAGAAACATCTTTGGACAGCGCTGGCTCTTCGGCTTGGAAACAGAGATGAGCACCGCACCCCTAGAGTCGGATTCGACTGGCTTTCGAGCAAGGAAAACCTTTACCTAGACCACATTTGCCCTGTTTTCCTTTTGTCCATTTGAATCCGGATGACAAAGATACCAAAAGATCTTTCAAAATCACCACAAAGCATAGATTATTAATTCCCTCAAGAATATCCGCTTGTTTTGTCAATCAATCAATCACTCATACCTTTATTGGCATTATAAAAAGAACATTAAACAGATACATAAAAGAACTAAACATATAGTAAATCACAAATTGAAACATCCCAAAATTACAGTATAAAAAAAAATTACTGTGATTTTGTTTTGTCAAATATTCCATAATAGGGAACCAAATCGCCACAAACTTAGATGGAGATGTTTGGGAGGTAAGGTATGACAATTTGCTGGTGATTTTGGCCATAGTATAAAGGTCCCGTAACTTTTTGGGTCAGAGCGACAGGTCTGGCAGTTTTTTAATCTTTCCAATATGAAGCTATAGCTGATTTTGTTCCTCTTATGCTCTTAGAAAAGGATACTCACGTCTTTCCAAAAGAGTCCCCAACTTTGATGGGCCGGAATTCTTGTCGGACAGCTTCCTCATATGGGATCCGTTCAGGGGTCTCAAAGAAAGAGAGAGATTCCAGAGAGCAGGTGTCGCCAAACAGCCTGCAGTTCGAAATGGCACAGTAAGAACAAATGATAAAAATGTGCAATTCGCTGCCAGGGGATACAGCAATGGCCACAGGCATAGACGGCTTTAAAAGGGGATTAGACAGATTCATAGAGGAGAGGTCTGTCAGTGGCTACGTGCTATGGTGACTAAAGGGAACCTCCACATTCAGAGGCCATCAGCCTCTGAATCCCTGTGCCAGGAGGCAACATCAGGGGAAGGCCTCCGTCTCTATGCCCAGTTGTTGGACCTTCAGGGGAACTGGCTGGCCTCTGTGTGAGACAGAAAGCCAGACTAGATGGACCACTGGTATGACCCAGCAGGACTCTTCTTATGTTCTTATGCTATCAGGTCTTGTAAGTGGCATTAGAAGTGTAACAACCAGAGACCCACATAAAGACCAATTTGTGCCACACTCTGCCCCAAAGTTTATTTTTATTTGACGGGTATTCAAGAAACATTTTGATGAAGTGGAAAACAAACCACCTGTCTTGAAACTGGATGTGTACCAGGCTCAGGGATCTTAGCACGCCGTGTCAAGTATGCAGAAAGCAGACTGATGGTTTAGAAAGTCCATAGCTACACTGAGATCAGAAGCCAAAGCCTCAGTGTTGGGAAGAGGTTTAGTGGTAGAGCCTTTGCTTGTCAGGCAGAAGGTCCCAGGTTCAATCCCTGGCATCTCCAGTTAAAGAGTCAGGTAGGAAGTGATGGGAAAGACCTTAATCTGAGACCCTGGCTCAGTGGTAGAGGGATGGGGGGTTAATATTGCCAGCTCCAGGCTGGGAAACTCATGGATATTTGGGGATGAAGCCTAGGGAGGACAGGGACCTTAGTGGGGTACAATGCCATACAGCCCAAACTCCAAAGCGTCCATTTTCTGCAGGGAAATGCATATCTGTAGTCTGTAGATTACCTGTAATTCTAGGGGATCCCCAGGTCCCACCTGGAGGTTGGCCTCCCTACCAATGAAGCCATCAGTAGTAATAATGGCTCGATGGAGCCTCCATGTTCAGGGATAGTCTATCTCTGAATAGCAGTTGCCACGGAATAGCATTGGGGGAAGGCTTTTGCCTTCATGCGCTGCTCTGCTAGGAGGACTTGCCAGGAGCATCTGCTTGGACACTGTAGGAGACGGGATGCTAGACAAATGGCCCTTTAACGCTTGTTCCGTGGTCTACATAGGTGGTGGGGTTAAGCAGGGGGAATGATTTTAGCGACGGACCGACACGTCACACGGTTTCCCACCTGCCCCGGAGATTACAATCCGTGAAGTAGATCTCGGAGATGAACTTTTCGACCCGTTCGAGCGCGGTTCGCCGATGCTTCAGCACCACTGGCTGCAAAATTTGTCCGGACCCAGCCATGATCCCCCCCACGACTGAATTTCCGCCTCCAGTGCAGCACTCAAATAATTCCGGTGACCAACACGAACCAGGCACGATGGTTCCTAGTTCCCAGGTTCCCTGCAAAGGTGCGCCTCTTCCGTCCCTCCTCCTTTAGAATCCTGTTCTAGAGAATAGATATGGCTGCATCTAGCAGCTCAGGAAAGATATTGCGATTTCGTCTGTAGTTCAGTCAGTCGGATTGTGACGTTTTGTAAATCCCCATTCAAAGTTCAATGGTGCGGTATAATCTGACACACAGCAACAGATTTTATCTTCACCTACTGAACCTCTTGGAAGAGTAGGAGTTTGAACCTTGCTCTCCTGCTCCTAATCTCACTCCAACCACTCCATCAGGGTGGCTCTCCCCAGATTACGATAGCCAATCGGTGCTGTTGGAAGCGTGTCTCTGTGTTTATCTGGTACACAGTTCATCTTGGCACAGAAATGTCAAGAGTGTCTCTCTTACGTTGCTTTTTGACCCCAGGTGTTTACGTTTTCCCAGCGTCTGTGGCGACACGCATTTGCACACGTTCAGTCACCCAGAACAATTAATGTTTCACGCATCTCCCTACGCAAAGCAGGCACTGAACTAGTCCTCAAAAGCTTCTGCTACAATACCAGTACAATCCTAAACAGACTCCAGTCTTTCTAAGCCAATTGCTTAGGCTTGCCAACCTCCTGGAGATCTCCTGGAGATCTCCTGGAATTATAGCAAATTTCCAGACTACAAGGATCCGTTTCCTGGGGGAAATGGCAGCTTGGGAGGGTGGCATCATACCCTATTGAAGACCCTCCCCTTCCCAAACCCTGCCTTCCCCAGGCTCCACCGAGCAATCTCCACGAGTTTCCCAACCTGGAGCTGGCCACCGTGATTAATGGGCTTAGTCTGGGAGCAATGCTCCCTCTAAGCTGTGGAGCCTTGTGAGCAAAAGTTCTACTCTGTGAGCTACTGGCATTAAAGTTGTGAGCAGGTGATTTGGCTACTGCATAAATCCGTTTGCTCTGGAGCCATCCTTCCTGAGCTGAGACAAAAACGTGTGAGCCTGAGGCTAAAAAACTGTGAGCCAGCTCACACTAACTCAGTTTAGAGGGAACACTGGTCTGGAGTAACCACACAGGAGAAACAAGAGGCTTGTGGCACCTTCTAGACATGTTTTTATGCCTGCATGACGTTTTGTGGGGTAGAGCTCACTTTATCAGATGCATGAAGTGGGTTCTCAGTACACACACACACATGGTGACCGTCTTTTTTTTTTTTTGGCAGTTCGCCGTATCCATAACTCTCCTCCAACGCCACATTTCAAATGACTCAACTGTCTTCCCATCATCTGTCTTTATTTATTGTCCATATAGGGTTGCCAGCTCCGAGTTGGGAAATACCTGAAGATTTGGGGGGTGCAGCCTGGAGAAGGCTGGGATAGGGGAGAACAGGGAGCCCAGCAGGGTACAATGCCATAGAGCCCACCCTCCAAAGCAGCAGCTGTGTTCTCCAGGGGAACCGATCTTGGTCGTCTGGAGATCAGTTGTAATAGCAGGAGATCTCCAGGCCCCACCTAGCAGCAGGCTGGCTCCGTCAGAGGTGGAACGACAGTGTCCTATCTACAGTCTCCACGCACGCACTTTGAAGTTGCATTGTTTGAAAGATTTATCTGCCATATTTTGAAAACAACAAATTGACAATAGTTTTTGACATGGGAACGTTATTCCTTTAGACCAACTGGATGACAATGGAAATGATTATGGATTGAAAATATACATATTACTCAGGTTCTTTTAGGTACTACTAACTTGATGTTAGGTTCTAGGGGTGGGGCTTATTGCATGTGCCCGCCCCCTGGGCTCTTTACTGCCAGAGCTCCGCTCCTGTGTGCTCCTGCAGGAAATGACCCCTATTAAGTTCCATTATATGAGTATATATCTGCCGTTTATGTTTTGAATTCTTTTTTAATATTGTTAAGTCGGTACTTAACAAAATAGTCAGAGAGTGATTTCAGCAAAACTCAGGTTTATTCAGCTCGATAATCAACTTCTCTAACACGGTACAACTCCTCATAGCCCGAACAGCTTGTCCATTTCAGCTGCTCGGTATTTAAACATTCCGGGCTAATGTAGCCACACCTACTGTACAAGTACCAACCTATCAGGTTGTTCGCATAACAGCCCAATCACAAACGTTCCCACCACAGACAGTTCAAATGTGATTGGACACAATACTTTCGGCGCGAATCCCTGCCGAAGCCTGAAGCTTAACATAGCTTCTCTATGGGATGATTCACCATTCATCCTAGCATATTCAGGGCAGCATCTGAATACACTACAAATATCTACAAAGTTTCAGTAAAATATTGAGAAAATATATGTATTAGACTTTGGAATTGTTGTATGAATAAGAGTACATAGATATCAGTAACTTTAATAGGTGTTGGATATTTATGATATTGTTTCTTGTAATTTGTTCACAGTTTCTTTCTTGAATCTACCCTGTTTCCATGAACCTCTCTTTGCTTATTTACCCACCTGGAAGCTGGCAACCCTACAATGTCCCGTGTCTGAACCAAGACATCAAGACATCTTGCAGAAACCACTTTTTCAATACACAAGTTATACTATATATACCCTATATCAGTGGTGGCGAACCTATGGCACGGGTGCCAGAGGTGGCACTCAGAGCCCTCTCTGTGGGCACGTGTGCCATCGCACCAGCCAGGTCCAGACCATCGTTAAAGTGTCGAATTCTCTGCCAAATAATTTCAAGTAAATGAAAGCATTTGGGATTGCTTTCCTTACTTTGTTTGGACCATCTTAATGTATGAGGTTTTTTTCTAAAGTAAAACCTCAGGATTCAGGTTAAATTGGCGTGTTGGCACTTTGCGATGAATAAGTGGGTTTTGGGTCGCAGCTTGGGCACTCAGTCTCTAAAAGGTTCGCCATCACTGCCCTATATACTACATATGTATATACCCGACCACTCCAGCTGAAACTGTTTTTGTGTTTATACACACAGCTGTTTTAAACTGTATTACTCAGTTGTTTTAAATATTGTTATATTTATTCATGCATGGTTTTATCTGTTTATGATGTGATCTGCTCTGAGCCCACTTGCGGGGAAGGTGGAATACCAGTCCAAATAAATAAATACAAATAAATCAATAATGTTTCATGCGATATACTCAATATACTTGTATACTAATATAATTTAATTATATGTAATATTTGATTTATTTTTATTTCTATTTAATAAACAAATCTATATAATGATAACACCCCACTAGATAAACACACAACGACAGTTATACAG